TCATATTGTTCTTTGGGTCTTGGGACCAACATCATTAAATACCACCTATATACTCAATCTTGTTATGGTTTGAGAATGCTTATATTATCTTTTACATTATCACTAATATCATACTTACTCAAAAATGTCAATGATGTCATATTGCTATTTCCTATAAGGGCAAGCCATAATGAATAATTATTGGAGCTCCTCCAACGTTATATAAAACTTTCTGTTCTCAGTGATACAGGTTTCTTAATCATTCTATAGTTGCTTTTACTGGCACAGCCAATTGAAAGCCCTTAAATTATTGTTATCAGGGATATCTATGGGGCTATGCTAAGTGTATCACAAAAAACTCTAAAATAAAGGATACACCAGACGATATTTTCATCAAAATAGGCGTGTTTTGGGAAGTCTCAACAGCCCTAGAAAATTATTACATTCTCCGAAATCTTAGTGCTAAAATTACAAAAAAGAACAGGTTCACAAATACTGGTAGTAATCAATTCGTTTTTCAACTTCAACTTTTTATTTGGTTATCCATATTTTTTCTTTGATAGACTGTTCAAAATAGAAACAGAATTATTATATACAGAGGCTTGTTTTTAGGTTAAAAGTATTTTGAGAGTTTGTAAGTGTATGAATCATGAGTACGATGCATGTTGCATGTTAGCTACCATTAAAAGATCTTGAAGGATGTATTTTAATCATCAAAAATAACACCTGTATGATGAAATCCATATGCACACAGAATTAATATATGCTGACTTAGTTTTCTCATTTACCTTTAGGTCAAATGGTTGGAAAACCTTCAAGAGTGCCATACCTCGAGGGTGGTTTTGAGGTTGAGGGACTTCCTGATGATTTGCCTTTTCGGAAGCCTTTCATGTATGAAGCCCCATTGCAAGGAAATAGTGATGATGCTGTTGAGACTCCAATTGATCAAGAGCCCATCCCAACAGAAGCCACTCAACAAATACTGGCATCCCTCTTAGCCCACATTGCTGGAGACAGAGTGTCAAGGCGTGCACTTAGTGGTGGTGGTATCATAAAAGAAGAAGAAAGCGAGGGTTTAGAGCTCACATTCAGTAATCGTGAAATGTGGATCCTACAGTCATACGGCATCACATATTTTGATACAGATGCATGGAAGGGGCTTTGGCACAATGTTCAACCTGACACAGAGCATGATGGTGGTATCATCCTTCCTGTGCTGAGTGGAGGAGAGGATGAGAAGTTTTGGCTTTCTTTGTGCTCGCTGAAATTGGGCACTATTCTAAAAGCATCAAGTGGCAACGCACTAAAAGGACACTGGTTAGACAGGATTCCATCATCATCTAGTGAATATCGACTACTCACTGACATGACCAACAGTGTCACCAAGCTTAATGCCATCAAGCTCGAGAATGGCACACCTCTCTACCACTTGTATGATGCAACGCCTCTACATGTACTCTTCTGAGATTATAAAAATTTCCAATAATGTCAAGATCAACATGTTATATATTGGTAAGCGTTCTTTCCTTGTATCTCAGTTTTATTGCTAATCTGGTACCCCTGGGCAACAGAGCTAGGAGAGGTATCTTTGCATGGTTACCTGGGAGTGAGTGACTACCACTTTCATAATAAGCAAAGATGGTTGTAAAACATTCTAGAACCAGTTTTCACAATTTGCAAAAAAAAATTTCAATGGGTAATTATTGCTTATCTTGAAAACTAGCTACAGTAGCTAACTTATTTCTAGTTCTTTTAACAAAATTTGGTTATTTGAAGAAAAATTGATTCACTGATATCTCCACTTTTGGAGTAAGTGAAATAAATACTCTGAAACACCTACTTTTATACAGACAAGAATTTAATTTGCATTTGTAAAATATTTTACATTTCTCTGTCTAAGCTTCTATTGTAAGCTTCTATGTATTATATCTTTTAGGAAGTTACTATAGCATTCAAAACTGCAACTTGCACAATTATTGTACAAAATTTTCTATATTTTCAGTCCACACTGTTCTTTATAAAATGTTTTCATACATTTGCGATTGACAGGAATGCCTGATTGTGAAATTTAATTGCTGAAAACACTATTTATTTATTTATTTGTTTTTTTTTTTTTTACTTTTTTAATTTACGGTTAATTGATATATTTTGGTGTGGGAGTATTTTGGATATTTTCCCAACACTTTGTCAGTATACATCTGTGCTTGTGAATGAGATTGAGATAAGGGGTTCCTCTCTCCCAGCTCTCAGACCTTTGATACCCGGGTTACTTAAAAACACACAGTTTACACTTTTGGGTCTGCCATATCCAGCCTTAATAGTGTGCAATGTTTTCTTTAGGACTTGACTACTGTCTGTAGTTGTGCTTTCTGTAGTTGTGTGAAATGTGCATAGTTAGAAAGGATAGTGATAATAAAGGTTGCATGCAGACAACGAATCATTTCAAGGCTGGAGATGATAAACTGATCACAGCTGCACAATTTATTATTGGTCACTATTGGTATCATTCACTCAAACAGTGCTTTCCATTTTGGTATTTGACTTTTTATTAGAGCTCATTTAACATTAACAATCTAAATAGAGTAAAAGACAAGGAATAGTTCAGATGTTGGTCTTTTGCCGCATCGAATGTAATTGTTGAGTTTTGTAAATTAAAACTGCAGTGCCAGGATCAACAGAATTTGCCAAACGTTATTCCTGTGGACGTTTTAAACTTATTGTCAGCCATAACAAAGTTTCTTATCTTACCAGAAAATATTAATAAGACTACTAATAATCTAGTTTAGGAAGCATGTACAAATTTTGATAGCTTATTTTCATGTTAGCATACAGCATTAATCATAGTTTTGCAGTAGTAACGGACAAAACAATATATTATATTTTGTTGATACCGTTCGTTGTTCAATATTAAAGTAATAAATAATATGGAACTTGTGAAAATGCTCTACTTAGAATATTGTATAAATGTATTTGTAATTGTGCATGTAATCAAGAATCAGGAAAATTATTAGTAATTTATCATGATAGTTTATATCATTACGTTGATATATGATTAATTTGAGAATTTCAAAGTAACTTTTCACAACTGTAAAAAAGATTTCATTTCAATGACTAAAGAACCACTAGACAATTTCATTCCTTTCAACAAAAACATAATATACTCAGACTTACAAGACGGCAGAATATCCCTCTTTCTGGAACAAATACACTGAAACAGTGGAAAATGAACTATATGTGTTATCAAAATAACCTCTAAATCTATCTGACTTAAGTTTATTTTTTGGTTTTGAAAACATGTACACTGTGCTTAAATTGAACAACAAAAATTTAACAATATTCGAATATTTCAACACAATGAATTAATTTGTCAGTCTATAAAATAGATCTTGGCACTTAGGTACATTAATTATGGTATTATGGGTTTATTCATCATTATCATTACGGTGCAAATCAATTACATTTTTCAGGAATGCTATTTGTCTGTGATTGGCCAAGGAACGATACAACCATTCCTGAAATATTTCTGTCTGGTCATGGTTTTGTGATTCTTACTGTAAAACATACATTTTATTTCCATGTTTGGCATAAGCCTGAGGTATACTTGCATGCAGTCTCTGACTCATTAGTACAGTCTGATTTTGGTTAGATTATAGAGAGGTAAGAGCCTTGTACCTTTTTGACCCTTTCTTTATGTTGTGCTTCTGTTGCAAATGATAATCCATTCGGTAACCTTCCCACTTGCATGACRTAACTGAGCAAGGTCGCAATGGCCTCTTATTTCCCCTCTTTGCTTCTCTAGAAGAGAAAAAAATTACTGAAGATGTAAGATGAGTGATATGATTAGTGAATAGGGTTATCTTGATACGAAGAATAGGCTGTTT